TCTATGAGACACCAAGTTCTCTTCCTCTTTCCTCTTGAAATAGAGGCAAAATTTTGACCATTATGAGCAAGATTGGCCTAGAAACTGAGTTTGAGTCTTAACCGCAGAATTAATAGGAGTCTCTTCAATGTGGATTTCATCATCTATAGTTATATAATCTTCTTCTACCCTCTCTATATTCATTGGCTCAACAGAATTAAAAGGATCTTCGACATCTTTACCATTAGCCCTATCTTTTCCATAAACTAATGCCAAGTCATCATAGTGAGGGAATAAGTCCTTTAGCATTTGTATGTGACTATAGTCCAACATAGAAAAAGTTACAATTAGTTAATAACAAAATAAATATAATCAAGGAAAAAGTTTAATAGTTGTAATGTTATCTTCACCCACTCACTCATCAAAGATAGACTTCTCCACAACTATCATTTTCTTTTCATCATTCCATCCAAATCCACTTGCTTTTAACATTTCAGCGATAACACCATATTATTTTTTAAGATTCTTCACTCTTGATTCAATATGGGGGATGCCATCAAGCCATAACCTGAAATCTTCCAATAAATCCACTTCTCCAATTGTTTGGTATATCTAGCTTTGAATGTGCCTTTGTCTCCAACCCACTTTTTACAAGCAGCAAGCTCCAATAAGCATTCCACAACTGCTTTATCTTTCACTTGACTCCATTAGTGCTTCTTGCCAATTGAACTTGGTTGGCTTAGTTCTCTCGTGGTCTTTTGCAAAACAAGCTCATAATGATAAATAATGATTCAAATAATTTATAAAAAAAAGCTCATACATAAATTAACACCAATCACTAGCATAAAGTAATTTAACGTAAAGAAATCAATCTTAGAAGTCCTTACAAACAATGTTAAACAACCTCATAAAGAACCATATAAAGAAATCAATCTTAAAAGTCCATACAAAAATTCATAAAGAGATTAACATCAATAACGAGCATAAAGTAATTTAACAATTTAAGATTGTCTTCCTCCCCAAACATTGAACATCTCTGTTGCAAGATTTTCCCTCCAAGTACTCGAACCATCGCTTGTCTTAATATGTATAATTCTTTCACCAAAGATGACATCTTCATTGTTCTCAACTTCAGCGGTCATTGTTTCAATCTCTAATGAATCTACGGACATCTCCCTTCTTATATGATTATGCAACAAACAACAAGTTAAAATTATTCTTACTTAAGTCTTAACCGGATAAAAAGACTTATTCCTTAAAACAGTTCATCGTCCTTTTAGTAACCCAAAACATCTTTCAATTACATTTCTAGTAGAAAAATGTTTCATATTAAAATACTTTTGTGGAGTCTTAACCAGATTCTAAGTACTAGATGTATTTTAATTTGATTTCTCACAAGTCACAAATTTTACAGGAAACACACCCAAGCTAGATGCTGGACAAAGGAAGAAGTCTGTCGCTTGATTTTAATTGCAACAGGTAAACTAACAAAAATAAAATAAAATAAAAGAACAAAGCAACATAGACAAATAATGACAATTGACAGAGAGAAATGAACAAAAATAAGAGCACATGCTTATCAAAGAGTAAAAGCAGAGTAACTATGAAGGAGAGAGTGTGAGAGAGACTAGTGAAGTAGAGAAAAGAGATAGTACAAAAATAATTTGAAATTAGTAAAGTGAAGTAGGGTAAAAGGGGGCATTTTTGTTCAAAAATTTCAGATTCTTGGGTAAGTTGAGGATACCCACCTATTAAGGTGAAAAAATAAAAATTTTAATTTCTTCACAATTCAAGTTTTCCGAGAATCTCACATTCCCAAGAATATTTTTTTGGTATCTTATACCAAACATGGGTAAGGAAACTTTTTAAGTAACATTCTTGAGAAATTTAAAAGATTCCGCATACCAAATACCCCCTTAGGTGTGTGCCTAATATCACTATTACACAACTACTAGCAGAGTGACAACAAATGACTTTGATAGGTTGTTTCTATGGATATCTAGAAAAACACAATTGTGATTGTCACGTTTGTCAATATCAAGTAATTATAAACCAAATGTATGTGCATGTATATATGGTTTGAGATATGATAATTATATGAACATTTAGAAATATTTGTTTCGTTGACATTAACATGTATACAATTCTTAATACTACATGATTGACTTTGTTGAGATGAATGCTTACTTAATTCACATTGTAGCATGGATTGCTTATGCTTGACTTCTAAGTAAGGCTGCCAACTAAGCATGTTATTCTACAATAAAATACAAGATTTATTGTCTTTTGTTATTTGAAGACATAGAAATTCTTTGATCATCATAAAGTGATTAAATCATAAGTTATGCACAATGTCAATTTTTTTACTTCAACTTGAAGTTTGGTGAAAAGTTGTGTTTAAAGTAGTAAGTCTTATCTACGTCTCTTTGCTACAAAATGTGCACATTTTGTTTAAGCATCTACTCACACAATTTTCCTCTAAACTTACCACTTCCTTTATCATTGTTATTACTTCCTTTTCCAAATGAATTTCTAAAAGAGTTAATAACATTTAAAAAAATTTGTTTCCTTTAAGAATTCTAGTGAATTGCCTTTCTTGTTATAGTGCAAGTAAGAACACTTCATTTATTTATTAATAACAAAGGTTCCATGAATAAAACTTCACTTTTTACGGCGTTATACTATTAATTTATTCTCTTGAAAAAAAACATAATTTAAATCGTTATATTGTATAATTATATATTATATCAAACACTCAAATAAAATTACTTTAAATAAAGATGCTCAAATCAAATTAATATATTAATTTTATGACAATAATTGATACATAAAACTATTCTAAAATATCATGTAATTGTTCTTTAAAGTCATTTTAAAAATTGATTATATGAATACTATACCTCTAAATAAAGATTAAATAATATTTATATTATTTCACTTTATAAATAATTATTTTAAAAATATAAAATGATATAGTGAATAATGAAATAATTTATAAATATTTTTTAATATCAAACATATCGTGACTTATTTTATCACATGTATATAAATTTATATGCTTAAATTAAATTTATCATAAAAACATAATCAATCTAACAATAACCTATATATATATATATATATATATATATATATATATATATATAAAAGTGACATATTTGCTTGCATGACTATTAGCCGATTATTACTTATTAGCACTAAATTGTGTCACTGAACTGAACACGTGTGCATTGCATCTTACTTTCACTTTTTTCAAGTTTTACTGTAAAATTTACCCATTTTAGTATTTATTTTTAAACATTGCTATTTTAATTTCTTTTAAAATATGTTCTTACAGGAAAAAAGCTCCAACCGTGTGCAACACCTTTCTGAAATAAAATAATGTTGAAATACCCATTTGATGCTTACATTGAAACTAATATTATTTTAATAAATAATATTAAAAACTACATTATTGTAATAAAAAGCCAATAAGTGTATCAAAATAAAAAAAATATTAATTTGAACATAATTGAAATCATAGTAATCTTAAGTTTATTTTATCTATTTTTAATTGAAAAATTAATTAAAATTTATATTCATTAAATTAAAATAATAATATTTAAAATAAATAAAAATAAAAATAAAAATAAATATTTAATATGAAAATACTTTCATGATTTAATAAAATATATTTTTCAAAAATATATTTGTAAAGTTGAATTTTTAGTATTTAAAATACTAATTAGTATCTTTGGAATATAATTATTATTTAAAAAATGTTAAAAATTTTAAAATTTCATTCATCCATATAATTTTTAATACAAAAATATTATTTATTAATCAGTATCCTAACTCCCAAGTTACGGATATCCTTTTAGTATAAGTAAAAAATAAATTAATAAATTTTCTTAACGCTTTTAGTACAAGTCTAAATAACCGTAAATGGGGTTTTTTTACATAAATAAATTAAAAAAAAGTCATTATTCCTTAAATGTCTTGAAAAGAATAAATTTATGTAAATGTTCTAAAAAGTATATATAATAGAAGTCGATTTAAATTAACTTTCATTTTTTGTTTTGAAAATTTTTATACAGAAATTGATTTAAATTGACTTTTATTATAAGTTTAATTTTTTTTACATAGAAGCCGATTTAAATTAACTTTTATTATGCTTTTAAAATTTTTTTATACAAAAGTTAATTTAAATTTACTTTTATTATATTTTTAAATTTTTATATTAAAATTAATTGAATTTAACTTTAATTCTAGTTTTAAAATTTGTTTACACATGAGTCAATTTAAATTAATTTTCACTCACACGTGAATATCTTTTAAAAAGAAGTCCATTATAATCAACTTTATAATGCATAATTGAAGTCGACTTAAATAAATTTCATTCTCTATATGAAACAAGTTTAATAGAAATGTCTGTCAACATGTCACACTAAGGTGTTTTTTTTATATCCAATAGTTATCATGCAATCAAATTAGTTCTAGAAGTTACAAGGAATGAGTGACATCCTTTTAGCATATCATATATATTCTGTGCAACACATTGTGTCAAAATTTGTTGTAAGGTTTAAGAACAGAGGTGTTAAGCGATTGTAAATGAATGTTATCATCTCACTCTAATTTTCACCCTCAATTTTAAATTTTTTTCATTTTCAAATGACAAATTTTTATTTATTTATAATATATTTCTTTTTAATCAACTTTAATTATATATTATAAAATTGATTATAATTGACTTTTTTTTTTAAAATATCCACGTGTGAGTGAAAGTTAATTTAAATTAACTCATGTATAAACAAATTTTAAAACTAGAATGAAAATTGAATTAAATTAATTTTTATATAAAAATTTCAAAATAGAATAAAAGTCAATTTAAATTGGCTTTTATGTAAAAAAGTTTTAAAAGAAAAAAAATTAATTTTTATGTAAATTTTTTTTTGACGTTTACGTAAATTTTTTCTTAGGGAATAATAATTTTTTTAAAAATTTATTTATATAAAAAATTACTAAACGGAGACAACGAAAGACATTGCCTCTGTGGGCTCTCTCTCTCACTCATTCCCTGTACCTTTTACTTAAAAGGGGTTTTGGGTAAAGGATAAGCTAAGCTTGCACATCATGGCCTCTTTATGCTCCTTCGCATCTTCTTCTTCTTCATGTTGTCACAAGCTTTCTCACCCTCTCAAACCATCATCCCTTCTCAATCACAGCATTACACTACCAAGAATAAGAAATAGGACGAAGAAGAGCACCAGTGTAATCGTGAGGCCTCTCTTCTGTGCCCTCAACGACGTCGCATTGCAGTACAGGAAACTAGGCGACTCTGACCTCAACGTTAGCGAAATCACTATTGGTACCGTAAGTTAAACCCTTTCTCATTCATTCATTTCCACACAAAAAGAAACCACTTTATCATTCGCTAGTTTCCCTTATTTTACTTTTGACCGGTGAAAATGCAATGTTGATTTCAGATGACCTTTGGGGAGCAAAACACAGAGAAAGAAGCTCATGACATTCTTAATTATGCATTTCACCGTGGCATTAACGCTCTCGATACTTCAGAGGCCGTAAGTTCTTCAATTCTTAATCAACATTTGCCATATATATATATATAGAGAGAGAGAGAGAGAATAGAACACTAGCTGAAAAATATTTTAATTTTTGATTATTTAAAACCTTATATTTTACACTCATTTATTAATTAATTTCTTACACAAGAATTTTGTAATGTTTTACTCTATATTGTTATAATACTGTTAGTAAAAGTTACTATTTATTCATATTATATTTTTGACAGGATTACAACTACATGAACCAAAACGTATAAAACACCTGTCAACTTAAGCATTTTAAATACAAGAAATAAATTGTAAAGGAGTTTTAACTATAAGGATCAGAAGTGTATTTTAACCATTATTTAAATATTTCTCTACATATATGTAATATTTTTAGTATTTTTCAAGTAACGAAATGCTATGATACATTCTTTTGAACACTTTATTTATGATTGTTGAGAATAATGTAAATAAAGTAACTATGTAAATAAGGTAACTATATAGATAGCCTAATCATAGATAATGTGATTTAAGATAGCAGAATATCATGTAATATTATGTAATCATTGACACTGTTCACACCTTTTCTCTCTTCTTCACTGCCATGGCTGCTACTGACCCTTCCAAGGCTGAACCAGCCATCTTCTTTATCAACCACGTCATTGCTCCTCTCTCTATTAGCCAATTGTATGATAAAAATTATACCTGCTTTGGTTTCAAATATTCATCTTTAACTTGCTGGGCAAGATTACAAGGACCATCTAACAACAAAAGGTAACACTATTATTGAGGCTAATTGCCCTCATTAGAAGAAGCTTGATGCCTAACTTTGTTTTATTATTAAGGCTACTCTTCATCCTTTTGTGCAACCTATTTTCCGTGCCCATGATACATATTAAGTTATATGGACTTAGGCTAAGTCTCTTTATACTAATAATACTCAATGACTTTACAAGGTATGTCACAACTCATGACCTTATGACTGTTATTAGTGCTCGTTCTCTTAGTGATTCCATGGGTACCTATTTGAGTTAGGTCTTTGGCCTCTTTCATGATCTGAATGAACTCTTAATTCCTGTTGACAAAACTGGCAAGGAACTCAAGCAATGCCAACAATTCTTTATGTTATTGGTCTTGTATGGTTTATCTAAGATTTACTTGAATGTTCGTGGTTAGATCTTGGGTTGTCTTGTGGTTTCTACTCTAGAGATTACCTGGTCCACTCTCCTTTGTATTTTGGCTAAGACATCTATCGAGGTTGTTCCTTCTCCTCTTATGGACTCCTTTGCTCTAGTGTCTCATAAAGGAGATCATACTTGCTCTTGCAAACCTAGAAAATCTCACCTTGATAATTTTCATAAGCTTGGTCATACCATTGGTCATGTGGCCAATGTTGATCACTCCTCTTTACAGGTCCCTTTTGACTTTGCTAGACTACTACTTGCTTCTCAAGTGCCATTTGTCTCTTATGATAGACAAAATCTTGCTCGCTCCAACTAATTTGTCTTTCTTGGTTATACTTGGTTTAAAAAAGGATACAAGTGTTACTCTCTTTCTCTTCATTGTTATTTTATATTCTATGATTTTTCCTTTTTTAACTGTGACATGTTTTATAATTTTGTATCTTTTTCTAAGTTCTCAAATGATTCTTTCCAATTTTTGTTCATTTTTCTCCTTTGGAGGAGTCTTCGACACGGGTTTGCTTCACTTTTGACTCTCTCGTTGAAGGTTATCAATACAAATGACTCTCTCCAACTCCACCATCAACACATACCTTGCTCTCGACTTACCTTTGGTGTTAGACTGCTACGTCATACCCCCTCCCTCTAATCTCATTTCATGAGTTAGACCTTCCCATTGTAATTCATAAAGGTATATGTTCTATTTGTAATTCTTTTACTCATTATGTTAATATTATTTATCACCTTCCCATTCTTAAGTTTACAAGTGATGCCCTTACAATTACACTATTAAAGTTGGTCCTAACGGCAAAGTAGATTGACTAAAGGCTTGTCTCATAGCAAAAGGTTACACCCAAAATTTTGGCCTAGATTATGCTGGCATATTCTCTCTTATAGTGAACATGCCCTCTGTTAACTTGTTATTACCTATGATAATCGTTCTCTTTATCAATTAGACATCAATAATGTTTTTTTACATAACAACTTTTTGGAGGAAGTCTATATGGAAAAACCTTCTGTTTCATTGCTTAAGGAAGTCTTTAAGACTTGTTTGTCAGTTTTAATGGTCTCTATATGGTCTTAAAGAATCTCTTTGGACAATGGTTTGATAGCTTTAGCACTATAGTTCAAGAACCTGGTATGACTCAAAGTGAAGTTAATCACTTTGTCTTTTACTCCACTATACCTCATGATGCATTTACTTTATTGTCTTTGTAGATGACATTGTCATCATAGGTAGTGACTACCATGGGATTTCAAAGGTGGAGTAACATCTTTGCCATCACGTCCAAAGGATTTTGGCAGACTTGAATACTTAAGGATAGAGTAGCCCAGTCTAAAAATGCTATTATAATTTTTCAAAGGAAGTATACAATCAACATCCTAGAAGAGATAGGGTTGATGAGTGTCAAATTTGTTGAAACTCCTATGAACCCTAATATCAAACTCGTATTAGACAAGGAGAGCCTCTTGTAGATCCAAAGAAATACGGAAAACTTGTTGCAAAATTAAATTATCTCACATTTATTCATCTTGTGAGTGTAGTGAGTCAATTTTTCAACTCTCCTGGTAATGAACATCGGGATGTAGTTATTCATATCATGAAATATATCAAGAGAGCTCCAAGGAAAGGCCTTTTGTATGAAGATTAAGGACACACTTGAATTGTGGGATACTTAGATGTTGATTGGGCAGACTCTTCACAGATAAAAGATAAACTCTCAAGTATTGTGTTTTCTTTGGTGACAACTTGATCTCTTGAAAAAGTAAGAGACAAAGTGTTGTTACGCAATCAAGTACAAAGGCAGAATATTGAGCCATGGCTTCAGTTACTTATGAGTTCATATTGCTCAAACAATTACTAAGGAATTGAAGTTTGGAGAGAACACACAGATGACCCTAATCTGTGATAATTAAACTACTCTATATATTGCATCAAACTCAGTCTTTCATGAGTGGATCAAGCATATTGAGATAGATTAACACTTCATTAGAGAAAAGATCTTATTCAAAGATATTGTTACTCGATTTGTCAACTATAATGGCCAATGGACTGATATATTTACTAAATCTATAAGGGGGCCTTGTATCGATTATATATGTAAAAAACTTGGTGCATATAATTTATATACTCCAATTTGAGGGAGACTGTTGAGAATGATACAAATAAAATAACTATGTAAACAAGATAACTATGTAGATAGTGTAATCGTAGATAATGTGATTCTAGATAGCAGAGTATCATATAGATATCATGTAATATTATGTAATCATAGCACATTATTATCAATAGATAGCTCTGCTGCATATTCTAACACACTAATTCATCCTATGTCTTCTCGTTTCTCTCTTTTTTAACAATGATTAGTCCCTGTTTTAAGAAGTAAAACAATATTTATAAAGTGATCAATTTTTGAAAAGTGTTTTGACATTTAAAGAATATACCAATAAGATGTGTGTTGAAGAGTGTGATAAGAAAAGGTGTTGTTAGCAGTTCTCTTTTCAAATATTATGCAAGATTCACTTTCTAAAAGCATAGGAATTCAATCATTATCATTCTGATTTGATAATTAGCCATTGGTTTTTTATTGCAGTACCCAATTCCAATGAAGAAAGAGACACAAGGAAAAACGGATATCTACATTGGTAGCTGGCTAAAGTCTCAACCTCGTGACAAGGTATTCATTGGTTGCTCCGTTCACAGCTCTGTCTATTCTTATTTTTCTGTGATTTTTGGGACAAGGATACTTAAAACCTTGAAAGTAATATTACATGATTGCTTCCCATGTGAAATAATGTTGTTGAAGTTGGGTTGCCTTTTTCATAAGCCTGTGGAACTTTCAATTAGTTGTTTTCACATGGAGTGAAAATGATTGATGAAATAAGTTTTAATTTGGGCTTATTTTTCCATGTGTAATGGTGAGCTGACCGTCTTTTAGAATTGAGAATTGACTTTCATCTGTTTTGAATGGGTTTTACTGAGTTCACTCTTTGTTGCGCAAAGAATTTGAAACTATTTGTGTATTGTCTTTGTCGATAGATTATTTTGGCTACAAAAGTATGTGGTTATTCTGAGAGGTCAAGTTACTTGCGTGACAATGCAAAAGTTTTACGGGTTGATGCTGCAAATATCAGAGAAAGTGTGGAGAAAAGCCTTAAGCGCCTTGGCACTGATTATATTGATTTGCTGCAAATTCACTGGTCAGTTTAAAGAATGTAAATATTGATATCTTTTTTATCTTCATTTTATTATTTTATCGGTGCCATTTCTGGTTTGAATGTTGGTAAATATGTTTGGGAAACTTGCATGTAGTATGCATTGTTAAATTGATGGTATAGATGGGGAAGAGAGATCAGAGAAAGAAGGGATGTGTAAATTGATTTTAATTGAGATGTATTCCAGATAAGATGTATATATAATGATAAAGCACTCACATCTATTTATATCAATAATTCTAACTAAATAAGGAAAGAGTAAATTATATCTTTTGTCTTATTAAGTTCAATTGAAATTATGATTTGGTTTGCTAACATTTTTTTTTATTCAATTTAGTTTTCTAAGTTTAATTTAAGTTTTTCTTCAATTCTTTAACATGTTGCAATTTAATTTAGTCTTCTATTTATTTTTGAGTCAAATTTTTCCTCAAACTTTGTCCCATCTCTCAACTTAACGAAAATACTTTACATAACAGCATTTTGGACTATGTTTTTTCTTACTCCCCACATTCTTTGCACTTCACTTTCAAATCATAATCCATAACTCCCACACTATTACTAAAAACCTCCTTAATTTCTCAAAAATCATTTGACCGACCACTCATTTATGCCTCTTTATTATAAATACATAACAACCACTGTCAAGTCATCATCATTGATCAAATCTCATATATCCGTAATTTCTATTGTTAAGCATCTTCATTATGAATCCATATCTACAGTCTACACCAAACACCAACAAATCCTCTGAATCAATACAAATTGAAAGATGGAGTAAAGTTAAATAAAAACTATGGGATGATAAAACAATTTAAAGAAATAAATTAAATAAAAAAGTTTAAAGCATCGAAGTAAGACTTTAGTTAAATTTAAAGGACATTGAGTTAAAAATAACTAGAGAAGCAAAGTCAGAAGTGTGACCGACATTGCAAGGAACAATAACGTCGGTGCTTCAATTGCAAACTAGATCAAACACACTTACACTTAGTAAGCATTCTGCATTATTTTTTTGCAGATGCTGGTGTCAAAGTACTATCAGCATCCTTGGGTGGACTTACAATATAAGCCAAACACTGAAAACCGAGTATTCTAGAGACCCTTCTCTCTCTCTTGTTTTTCTCTACCTTCTCTATTTTCCTCCCTGTATTTTTCATATCCTTACATGTCAATTACACCTTCTATTTCCCCTTTATTTACTCCTGGCAATTTGTTACTGATACGCAAACTCCCTCAATTGCTAGTGAGCCTAACGGGCAATCTGTTACATCAATTCTTCCTTCCTGAGATCTCATCTCTCATTGATCGCCTCTCTTGCAATCTGTTACATTAGAAGGATCGGATCTTCTGCAGCCCTTCCTGATACATGCCTCAGTGATAGGTGTTTTCTGAATATGATATTATGTTGTTTTCATCGTTTCCCCATAGTTTGGACATGCATAATAGGTAACTGGTTCATATGTGTCATTGACCTTCTTCAACATGCATATGTTCAAAATTTAGAAATGGTTAAAATGGTTGGGTAACTCTGGTTAACTTGGATTAATTCCATTTTAGTCCCCAAGCTCTTGTGGTTTTTTGGAGTCAAGTATCTTGTATTTCTCCATTTTCATTTGCTTAGAGGAAAAACAAGAAATCAATGTTCAATGATTTCCAATAAGCAATTAAAGAAAAGCTTCCAGCATCTTTCTTGTTAACACTTTCTTGGTTTTGTTCTCCTATCTAAATTTCTTGTTATTTATTTGGTTTTGGTAACCATTCAGTTTTTAGAAAATAAATTTTAAATTTTTTACCATAGTTTTACTAAACATTATTTTGTGTTACATTTTGTTGAAAAGCATATTAACTAGCTTCTATTTTCATTCAATTTTGATGGACTATAGTATTCCTTTTTTCCTTCCCTATCTTATCAGCTTGATGCATTGCACTGATGATAATACGATGAAATGGGGGGGAGCACATATGTTTTTACATGAATTTATGTAGTATTAAAAGATAAGTCCTACTTGTTTGCAATGGAAGTTTTGTATTACTATATGACTAGTTATCCTATATGGTAGTGAATGCTAAACTTTAAAGAAACAACATGAGAAAAAAGTGAGAGAGACAAAAATGAGAATATTAAGATGAATGAATGGTGACATAAGAAAGAACAAAATTAGAAATGATTGTATCTGCAAAATATGAGAGTAACGTCTATAATTAAAAAAATGATAGAAGTCAATTACAGTAGTTTAGACATATGCAAAGAAGGCTATGAAGACACTGGTGAAAAGAGTGAATGACGTGGTAAAAATGGGTAGAAGGAGACACATCAGAACTTTAGAGACAATTATTGAAAGAGATCTAATGATAAATAATATATAAGAGAATTTAGGTTTTGATTGAACTCAATATCGTCATGTGATTCATGTAGCTGACTTCACCTAATAGGATAAGAAGACTTGGTTGTTGTTGCTTGTGATGAAAGTTGTGATCATAATGGAAGATGTACAAAATAACACCTACATTTTTATTTTTTGCCTTTATCTTGTCAATAGCCTAGATCCATGATCAATATTTTCCCTGCTCTTTGCTATGTTAGAAACATGCTTGTCAATTGTCATCCCATTTCTTCCCTTGTTTCGCCGTCTTTCTTTTTTTCCTTATTTCTCAATGCATCAAAAAGCTAGTTGGAGGTTGAGTATCATTCATTAATTACTTTTAGAAATGTGCCATGTAAACCTATCAAGCTTTAATATAACAAGGGGAAAAGGGTGACGATGTGATTGTAAACATCTGATAAGTAACTGCTCTCGAATCTGTGATATAAAGGAAATAATTATGTTACAATATTATCTACTTTAGCATAGCACATTATTTTATACCAAAATTTCCTTTATGTTGGTGTGAATGAAGATGTGCTGTTTTGACAATATTTTTCATTGAATAATTTTATTAATATCTACCTGATGCAAGCAGACAGATCACCAATATTCTCTTGTTTGCCTCTTAAGACAGAAAGTTAAAGTTTTTGAACACTTGAGAATTCTAAATATATGGTGTTCTGCTTCATTATAGGCCAGATCGCTATGTTTCGTTGTTTGGTGAGTTTTTCTATGATCCTTCAAAATGGAGGCCTAGTGTCTCGTTTGTTGAACAGCTGCAAGCTTTTCTAGAACTTATCAATGAAGGGAAGGTAACTAATTTCTATCAATTCACTTTACACGTTGGCTTTTCTAGATTTCTAAAGGAGTCCTAGTGATTTGTGTTTCAATAGGTTGTAACGTTATTTTTTTGCTTATTTTGTGCTATTCTTGATGGAGAAATGCAGTTGAAGAGTGGTAGGTAGAAATATTGTTTCTCTCAATTTTTTTGGTTGGACGAGAGGAATGAGATGGCCGTGCCACTAACTTTTGTAGAATATTTTGTAATGTTACCTGACAAATGTCTCATCCTATTACACGTCTGTAAATAAAATCAAACTATGGTATGGTTCTCAGCAGTCAGCATTAACCCATTTAGTCTAACCAAGCTGGGATTTACTGCCTACTCGCTTTACCTTTTCATGATCCTCATGCCAGTTATAATATGAAATTCGCATAAGATCACAATATCATGTTCATTCTCTTATGCTTGTGAATGGATCAGTTTCTTGAGATTTCTGCATGCATCAGGTGCGCTACATAGGTGTTTCAAATGAGACTTCATATGGAGTGATGGAATTTATCCATGCATCCAAAGTTCAAGGCCTTCCAAAGATTGTCAGTATCCAAAACAGCTACAGCTTGCTTGTTAGATGTCATTTTGAAAGTAAGTGAGGTTCTGGCATTAGTCAGATCTCGTTCCCATCACTTAATATCATCTTGCTTTGGGATGCAAGGCTGTTGCTCTTATTGTCTTGATAATGTAAGATTTGTGTTAATAATAGCTATGCTACTTTTTCATCATGAATCACATAGCACCTTGTTGTTCCTAAAGAGTCAAAAGATATAAAGTGATACTCTTGTTTTTGAGGATTTTTTTTAAAGGAAAAGTCCAATTTACCCTCTCAAACTTTGGGTCACGTGCACTTTGGTCCTTAAAAGACGAGTAACGTGATTCCTAAACTTTTTTAATGTGCGCATTTTAGGCATCCCATCTATTTTTTTTTTCCATCAATGGATAAAAAGGAATTGTCACGTATTTAAGGTCAAATAATTTAAGTCTGACGATTCCTGTTAATATTTGACAGAAATTACATGGAAGGACTGAAACACAATTTAGAGAGTTTTAGATTGAATTGCACATATTTTGAAGATTTTTAAAGATCAAAGTGGTCCTGACCCGTTAGAAGGGGTAAATCGAACATTTTTAAGCTTCTATAAATGTTGGCTTAATTTTCGCAGTTGATCTTGTGGAAGTTTGCCATCCAAAGAATTGCAATATTGGCTTACTAGCCTATTCTCCACTTGGAGGTGGATCACTCACAGGAAAATATTTAGATATGAATTCTGAAGCTGCAAAAAGAGGAAGGTTGAACCTCTTCCCTGGATACATGGAAAGATATAACAAATCAGTGGCACGGGTATGCCATAATTCTAGTTCTTGTAATTAAAATTTACTCTATGTTCTCATGGCAATAAGGTAACTGTTTAAGACTTTCCCTTGCTTTGTTGTTGGATTTCAGGAAGCTACTAAAAAGTATCTCGAGGTAGCCAAAAAACATGGTCTAACTCCTGTTCAGATTGCACTTGGATTTGCAAGAGACCGTCCATTCGTAACAAGTTCAATTATTGGGGCAACCTCTGTGGAACAACTAAAAAAAGACATTGATGCTTTTACAACAACTGAGCGGCCCTTACCAGCAGATGTTATGGCAGACATTGAAGATGTCTTCAAGAGATACAAAGATCCAACCATTCTTTAATCATAATTACACCTTTCAAGTTTTTCCTCACTTATCTCTAAATATTTTGCCATGATGAAAATTAGAGGATGAATAAAATGAATATCCTTCCCTCAACCATAGAAATGTTATCAGGCCTTAGAAATTTAGTTTTGTTTAGTATATATTAAAGAAATAGTCTCTTCCTAGACATGCACCGACTCTCTTATACTAGTTTAAGGAGGTTTTGTTTAAATGACATTCTTACCCCTTATTAGACCCCTCATGTTGAATAACAGACTGAGTATACTCATATAGCGCGCTTAGTGTCACTCAACCAAATTAATACGCCCTCGTCATTTTCTGAACAAATAGGAAGACTGAATGTGTTAAAATAAAAATTGATCCCGCATATTCAGACAAAATTAAAAATAAAATACTAAATAACAGAATTATGAATTTTTAAGATTCTAAAAATTCATTTAAGTCAAAGATCATTATTTATGATTTAAGATAATACATATTGATTAATATAAAATTTATTGATTTGATCAATTGAAACAAAAAATCTTAACTATAGCTAATAAAATATAAAGTATAATTCATATATAACAAAGACTTTTTATTAATAGTTAAATTAAAGACTAAATATGTCTAAATATTTCTTTTTATAAATAAAATATCTTAAAGGAATGCTAGTAACACTTTTTTTCACTTCTCAATTAATGTTTCTTTTTTATATTTTGTAATTTTTAATAAATTTTAGTTAATAATTAAGAATATGTTGCTTGTTGTTCTAAAGTGATACTATTGACACTGGATTGGAGGACAACAACAATCAAATATCTCTTGAAACTAATATCTTCACTTATCGAAATTCATTGGGGTTGAAAAGGCCAATTCTCAAGTCATGCATACTTAGAATGCCCTAGGCATCACAATACTTATTACATCACACAATTTGCATGCCCAAAGCTTGCCATACACACCAAACTTACTACTACGTTGCCATTGCTTAGTAATTCACGTTTGGGCAATAATGAAAACTCCATCGAGAGAATAACATGAATGCCTATACAAGAGAAGAGAAACTTCAGACCTCAAGTATATTATTTATTTTCTTTGCCTTATATATAGGACCTACCATAAACTTTTTTTTACTTTAGCCTTGAACTCATTCCTTGAGCACCATCTCATTAGAATAGTGTTAATGAGTTAATATGGTAAGAATTAGTTACTTATATCATGATAGAAAAGTCAAGAATTCATTCATGTAATAAAGTTAATCCTTTAAGATTTTGAGTAACATTATAATTTCACAAATAAAATATTTTATATAAAATAGTATATATTATATATAAATTAAGATAGATATATATTAAAAATTATAATGACAATATCAACATTAACAATTTATTCATTCTTCAAAAGGCAAGATAAAAGGTAAAAGTATAAAATTAAGTAAAATTCTTCTGTAAATCCGTCTGTAATAGCAGTCTGTAGTTTGCTCGCCATTTGGCGTAAAATAATATAGACAGAAATTACAGATAAATTTTTTCATCTGTAATTTGAAAATAGGAGGGAAATTTAGAGCAGGAGTTATAGATGGAAAAATCTGTCTGTAAATATTGCCCCTTTTGACCGACTTTTCATTTGACAATTTACAGACAAATTTTTTCGTCTGCAAATGACAGACATATTTTTCTGCTTGTAAATGATAGACAGATTTTTCTGTCTGTAACTGGACTTGACGAATTTACAGACAAAAAAAATTTGTCTGTAAATGAACCCTTAAAATACACCGTTTTATTAAATCATTTACAGACGAATTTTTTCGTTTGTAATATGTGAAATCCTTAAAACCGCGCCTCCTCCTTCTCTTTCCTCATTTTACATAATTTGCTCTCTCGTTTCTCTCTAGGAACTTCAGTTTTTTGCCTTTGCGAGTGATTGAAGTATCCATTTGAAAGATAATTTGCAAATGTAAGGAAATTGACATGTATTAGGGGAGATTCTGCCAAAATTTATATTAAAAATTTGTATAATGTATAATAGAAGGTTGATACAATATTATGTATTTGTATTAGGTTTATATAGTTCTTGATCCAGATGTTTCCTAGAAATCGTCAGTGGATGTATGATAGGTTGCACCTAAGTCGGGGGGGGGAATAAAACCTGAATTCTTTGAGGGTATCGAGGAATTCATACGTGTTTGTTGTAATTCGCAACAATTCATCACCAACCAAAAAGTTAGGTGTCAATGTTCTAAGTGCAAGTGTAGAAATTTTTTGGATATTGATTCCATTAGATATGATTTGTATAAGTTTAGATTTAACATGATTATTGGATATGGATTGAGCATCGGAAAGTAGTTAATGTGAAAAATCAAGTAGGCAATTCAAATATATTGCAATCAGGTGAGGATGTAGGTAATGTAAGTTAGGAAAAAAGCAATAGTCGTTATCAAGAAATGGTTTATGATACTGTTGATCCTACATTTGGAATTTTTCGTGATTTTGAAGCTGAACAAGAACCTAATGAAGAGGCTGCAAAGTTTTATAATATTTTAGAAGTAGTAAACAAGCCTTTATAGGATGGGTGTGTGCATTCAGAGTTATCTTTAGCAGTATGAATGTTAAGCATAAAGTTAGAAGACAATCAAAGTCAGAGTTCATTTGATCAATGGGCTATATTAATTAGTGAGCTTAGTCCCCAACCTGACTTAATCCTAAAAGACTTTTACCAAGTAAAAAAATTAGTTTTCAAACTTGGATTAAAAGAAGTCAAAATTGATTGTTATTTGAAAGGCTGCATGTTGTATTACAAAGATGATGCAGTTTTGACCAATTGCAAATTCTGTGGAGAGCCTAGGTTTAAACCAAGAAGAGGTGGTAGAAGTGGTAAACATAAAGATGTACCGCAAACTAGAATGCATTATTTGCCTTTAATTCCTAGACTAAAAAGGTTGTATGCGTATATGAGTTCAGTTTCTTACATGACGTGGCATGATGAAAATAAAAGGAGTGATGGGATAATGACTCATCCATCTCATGGTGAGGCTTGGCAACATTTTGAGCAAGTGTATCCTGAGTTTGCATCTGATCCTAGAAATGTAAGGTTAGGGTTATGTGCTTATGTGATGTGCACGATAAATGATTTTCCTGCTTATGGAATGTTGTTTGGATGGATGACTCAAGGGAAATTAGCATGCCCAATTTGTATGGAGGACACAAAGATATTTACTTTAAAACACGGAGGAAAAAGTTCATGGTTTGATTGTCATAGGAGATTTTTAGATATGGAACATCCTTATAGGTGTCAAGCCTACAAATTTAGGAAAACAACTGTTGAGAATGAGGACCCTCCCGTCCGTTTAAATGGTCATCAAGTATGGGATAAAGTTAGACACTTGCCAAAAATAATAGAAGTAGGAAAATTCATTAGGTTTCCTAGTTGTGGGATGACACAAAATTGGACCAAACAAAGTATATTCTGGGAGCTCCCATATTGGAAGGATAACGTAGTTCGTCATTGTTTAGATGTGATGTATATGGAAAAAAATGTATTTGACAATATTATGAATACTGTAATGGACACTGATCAAACTAAAGATAATGTAAAGACAAGATGGTCGATAGTCAAAGCCAAAGGTAACTTACACTCTGATTTTACCATAAAGACAAGATGTGTGTAAATGGGTGAAGGACTTAAAAATGCCTGATAGTTACACTTTAAACCTCGGTCGTTGTGTGAATGTTGAACAAGGAAGAATTTTTGGGATGAAAACTCATGATTGGCACATATTCATGGAGTGTCTTCTACCTGCTGCATTTAGGGAACTACCTGACCATGTTTAGAAGCTATTGACTGAGTTAAGTGAGTACTTTAGGGACCTGTGTTCACCTACTCTAAGGGTTGAAGATCTATTAGTGATGGAAAAAATATTCTTGTGATTTTGTGCAAATTAGAGAGAATATTTCCCCCTGGTTTCTTTGACTCCATGGAGCACTTGCCTATACACTTAGTGTATGAAGCACATGTATGTGGACTAGTACAATACAGGTGGATGTATCCATTTGAATGAGAAATTGGAGGGTTCAAAAGGACTATGAAAAATAGAGCTCAAGTAGAAGGATCCATATGCCAGGCATATATATTTAAGGAGACATCAAATTTTTGCACATACTATTTCAAACCTCATGTTCAATCTAGGAGGACTTGGGTTGGTCGAAATGATGATGGGGGAGAAAGCAGTAATGAGCCAACTCTATCTATATTCAACCAACCAGGTCGTGTATCTGGAAAATGTGAAGAACGATAGATTTTATGTGATGAATCAGATGTCGCACACTTGCACATCTTATTAAATTGTGATGAAGTTCAACCATTCAGAACGTAAGTAACTTATGATTGCTTTAATGAATTTTTTTGATCATGGTGATTCAAATCTAATTAATGATATTGCAATGTTTACAGATATTTTGAACAATTATATGGTCACGAATACCTTAATCAATTTCCATCATGGTTCAAAAGTTATGTACGTTATGAAATTTTCCTAACATTTTAGTTTATCTACTTTTTAATATTATTCTGTATTCAATCAATTGACATATTTAATGGTATGTGTAGGTGCGTGATCCTAGTAATGATATCACAGATATTGACCTATATAACTTGTACAAAGGTCCAAAAAATAAAGCATATTGTTGACCAATTTACTATATTAATGGGTATAAATTCCAAATCATTGAATCATGTCAAGGAAGAAAAATAGATAATAGTGGGGTTAGTATGGGAGGAAATTCAAGTAATGGTGACTGTGATTGGTATGAAAAACTTAATGAAATAGTTGAGCTTGAATATACTGGTGAAATCATAAAAAGGATTGTCTTATTCAAGTGTGAATGATTTGATCCAATATGCCCCACAAGGACATGTAAACATAACTATTACAATATAATTAAGATTAACCATACCAAAATATTTAGAGACTTTGACCCCTTCATCATTGCACAAAATGCAAGACAAATATATTTCTTATCTTATCCTACAAAATGTAATAAAAGTTGGAGAATTGTAATAAAAACTAAACCAAGGGGTCAAATTGAAAGTGATGAAGTACATGATGAAGATGCATATCAAATTGATGACTCAATCCTTTCACGTATAGTAATAGACATTGTTGTCCCTCCAATTTTATATTCTCCTTTGAATGAAATTGAAATAATTGACCCTCCTACCCAAGCTTCAAGAAATAATGAAATGGATAACATGATTGAAGATGAGGAGGAAGGATTTATGGATGACAT